AGGCGTCAACAAGCTCACGCAGATAATATTTTTGATAATTTATTTCTCCTGGTATTGTTGGAGTGTATTAAATATAGTAGACTATAAATGAAGTACACTATGTCGCTATTTCTGACCTCACCTTTGATTTTATACCGATGAGTGTTTGTGCTAGTATTCAGCCGCTTGGGCTGGCCGGAATAAAAACTCATACGGTCAGTATAAGAAACCTTCTGCAGAACAATTTAACACTATTATCCCTATTCGTTTTCGACTTCTATGCAACTTGATTTTACGCTGATCATACGATGCTTTTCCGCATAGGCTGTGACTCACATAGAGACGCACCTACTTTTAGAATGTTGCGGTTCGCAAACTTAATCAACTCTTGGGAATCGGTTAGGTATTAACTCCTTTTTTTTGGGGAGTAAGTTAAGAAACTTGATTAGCTCTCGGGAGTGAGCTAACTCTGATGATTGCTATAAATCAAATAAATTTTCCTTTGCTGGAAAATCTGGTCTGAGACCTGTCGTCTCTCAGCTATGGTTGAAGGCATTCGTATTCATAGGTATTTCTGTATATTCTCGTACCTTGGCATATTCATATGGTGTCCAAAATATGGAAGCGAGTCTAATGGGCCACGTTATGCTTGCCAAAATATTTAATGCCCTTGCTGTAATACTTTGCCATGTTGAGCCGTAATAAAAGCCACGTGAGGTACTCGAAGACATCCATATTATGCTTACCAGCCCCACGAAGTGTTGAATTCGCTGCAGGTGTCAGTGTTCCACAAATCGACCCATGAGAAGGAGATGGGTATAAAAATAGTTAAAGGATGTTTTACGTATAATATGTGGGGGCTTATCATTAAAGTTACCCACACCATGCTTATCACATTGAGAAATATTGACATCATGAAAATTATGCTCTAGAAGAACATCGCCATTTTTGCAACTATCGTCAAGTGGTCTAGTATCAACAGTCTTATCTACAACAACCTCTTGGGCACTACTGTCGTTCGTTAAGATGCTGTGGTGGAAGTAGTGGATTGTGTAGTTCTTGCTTGTATGTTTGATATTGTAGTATGGTGTACGTGTGTTGTTGTTGCGAAGGAACCATCAACAATATCCACACTAACATCAAGTCAGGTGCCCCCTGGTGCATTTGCAGTTCCATTTGGTCTACCAATATTTGCTACTTAATATTATCACAAATAGGTTCAGCAGCAAGTCCGAGAATAGACGCCATCGAAAAGTAAATTATGTTTTGTACAATCGATATTGCAGTTAATATAGCCGTTGGTACGATTACAGAGAGTGAGTACTGTCGAATATTGGCAGACGTTGTGGGTTGAGTCTGCGAGGATACGCCTGGGTTCTGTGAGTTAGTATGTGTGAAAAAGGTTCCATCTTCGCTGGGAGGAACTTGGAGGATGCGTGCGCGCGCTTCCGTTCTTTGCTGCACCAGCTCATGGGTCAATACACTCGGATCTACACTGATCCGTCACACTAGGTGCTGTTCAATATTATTAAATTCTCTGGACACTTTCACAGGTCTTGCGTTCCTAGGTGGCACGTGCACAGTGAAGTTTTGCATTTCTACCTACTAAATTAATACGAGCTGGTTCTGCTCCAACAAGCACAGTTTTGCACATGAAGTAGCAATTCGTAAGCAGATATACTTGTCTCTTACCACCGTCGCATGGGAGCTTGTCGGTTCCACATATTGTGTTACAAAAAGGTCAATCCTCTGCTGCTGACATTGGGCGGGCTACCTCAACACGAATATGTCACATAGTCCCAATTGGATGCTACTTGCCGCTTCGTGAATATTTAGGAGTTCAAAGTGCTATCGCATGCAGCTGTAGCTCACCGGACTTGGGCAAAAACGTGGATACTTTGGTCATATTGCAGAAATAATCATCGAGAAGACCCTTATTTAAACTTTGTATATCGCATAAGTAAATATAACCGATTATGTTGCAGACTGTCGTCATGCGGTTTGTGCTCGGAACAGGTCGATGGATGGCCGCCTTTATCCGTCAGGTCGAACTGAAGACGGTATTGTTGGTAAATAGTTTGCAACATTACCAGTCGCAAAGTTACGAGGTGTATTGAAAACATACATTTCATGTACTAAAATACATGATCGTCCACAAGCATAATGCTCCTAAACGAACGATACTAAGACGAGGTTCCAATAAAGAATCAATAGTCTCGTGAACGATCACTTGTCGGGAAGCCAGATTTGGTGGCATGTGAACTACACGTACTAGAAGGTTCATAGTGAAGACTACTTCACTTCCACTGTTTTCCAGGTGTTTACATTTAGAAAGTGAAACCGAATTCAACATTCACGTAACATTAATTTTGGTTTTCTGAGTACCGCAAATACTGTCTTTTCGATGTATCGTTACCCGCATATGAAAACAAAAGACTACAAAAGTAATACATGTTGTCAAGTACGTAAAAAACTACACACAAGACACAAAGGAGGATAAATAAATCAATATAAGCTGTACTCGAGCCGTCTGTAAGTACTGAACCAATGCTTAATTCGGTATAAGTTGTCCAGGCCCCCTCGTAATACATGTATAAGCAACCACGCAATTTAAATTTTAGATAGTTGCCCCCTTGAAATTATCAGCTAAACTAGACAGCCATTTTTCCGCATTATAATTTTAACAACCTTGGAGAACTCTGATTTATATCGCTAATGCTTCAATACGGAGAGTCGACTCCAATAGGATTAGTTCAGATAAAGGTGCGTAGAGATTTTTCGGAGGGGGTGAGGGGTAGATTGTTTTATTAGTTTGTTGTAGCGCATGCGCTACAGTTTCAATAAGCATGTTTCAAGTATACTGTGCAACCGAAAATTTTCAAGAATATGTATTTCCATTTCGTATTTTTGCCACATACGGAGTGTTGCAACTTGATGAATGATGTTGTCTAGACGAACTGGTCTTTACTCCTTCTAGCAACTTATATTGAATAATACACTCTTCTATTAGCGCTATCGTACGAATTATCTGGTTCAACACTTACAGTAAACACTGAAATTTGAACCTACTTTTGAAGGAAACACTAAAACTCACACTGAAGGGCACTATTGAATATAGTACGTCGAACTTGCATACCTGACTTATACCCATACCTCGCTCGAAATAGCCATCTATTTGTCAACTGCCCTTGCGTATACTAACTCACCTTCATTTTATTTGAGGTGTGAAAGTTGCCCGCAATATTCTTGGGGGGTTTCCGATCTCAAATAATCGCCATTGTACATCTACCCCGTGGTTGTTGCCCACTAGTGGCCAAATTACAAATACTTCAACCAAGTCAGTAAATCATAGTACCTGCTGCATCGATAAAATGCACACAGCAAAAGCTCGCAATTTATCACTGTCTAAATGCGATGCATAACTGAAGTCTTTGAAGTGATGCAAAACCAAGCTAACCCCTCCTCCCCTCCTCCCTCTCCTCTTTCTCTCTTCATTTCTGGTCGTTCTCACTGGGCGGGAAAATTGATTAACCGTGTTGTCTCTCAGTTGCCTCGGAGATAAATAGAGGTCGAATTCAGATAAAAATGTCGCACAACGAAGATATGTAAATACCCAATCCTTTCGAAAATTAAACTGAAAACTAAACTTCGGACAAATATGCACATCATAGTTTACAAATGAACGAGTAAGTTGTGTTTTGGTGATAAAAAAATACTCACGAGCCCGGATAAGGGAAAGTCGACAAGCTCAAACTCAAGGCATACTTAATCACCGATAGTACGTTCGAACTACCAGAAAGCACACACACAGGTTCAACCGAAAAGTATTTTCAAAGTCGAAATTCAACCCTGCTGTAACCTGTATGAGCCTGTAACTTTCCGAGTATTTAAAATACAAATGAATTGGGTAACAAGTAGTGCCTAAAGCTATATCTATCATAATACTTACTCAACAATTGCAAGTTGACTAGTGTAAAATCATTATACGAGCGTTAATACCCTTTGAAGCGAGAACAAGGCACGGGACGTGGGATATGTTAGTAGCGTACTACACGCAGGTCACATACCATATATGTATATATAAGAGTGTAGTATTAACAATAACCAAACTTATCTCTACGATATTTCGCGCAGACGAGTACCACTTGAAGCCTAAAGTACAATATCACTGCTGCAATATTTTCGATACCATAAGGCTTCAATCGTCCCAGAACCACTCCAACAAATATGAAACCTGATGTGTATGTGGACATATATATTTTTTCTCCCAAATTGAAATAAATAATATAGTCACTGACCATGGGATGTAATATTCATTGCTTACTAGTATAGAACATGTAAATCTCGAGAGAATTGATTTGCAGATCTTTTTTTCGAAAGCTTAGAAGGTTTGGGGACCGGTCCATGATGATTGTCGAGCACAGTTGCACTGTAACTCCCAATGCTCGGACAATTAAAACTCGGCGTGTAGCATACTATCTAACATTCATATCTATGATAAACGGATGCCAACTAGGTTTTGACGTGGTGAATCATAGATATCCCATGGCCGCCAGTATTTCGTCACTTCATTTTTCGTACACGGAATTAAATAATTATTATATCATTCCGTTGTATGTGATACGTTGCCTCCAATCAAGGTCACATCTGTGTATAGCTAGCAGCAAATTCCGAATGAAGCTCCGTCGTAAGTTTGTTCCCTTTAAGTAACGCAAGCTGTAATCACTTCTTTCAACCACGTTGTAGGACAGGGATCGAAGTGAATAGTTCGAGTTGCTGTGATAAATTTTCGTTCACATTTTGTATATGATCAATATGGCAGGCTTTTCAAGTCGATTGTACTGGAAAACATTGCCACCGACTGCTGAGAACATGTTAGGCAGCTTGCGAACTCGATGGTCGATACACGAATAAAATAACTTTATAAATGCCACTGCACATACTCGTGCAGCTAAATAGTGTAAGAACTTCAAAACTACTGATGATAGAACACGACAGAGAATATGTAGATTTAATACTAGTGTGCATATTATTCTTTATTTTGTTCTTCGGTACGCATTGACGTTTCCAATAAATCAATCCATAGAAATGTGACTATGACTCGACGGTTGGAAAATCACAAGTGCACTGCCGCTAGTACATTTCAGCTCTCATCTCCGTCGGTGCCCGACGCCGGTCTGCGGACGTATCCGGTATGCTATATTTAAAACTACACACTGATGATACCATCGTGCTGATACCATATTAAATCTCTTTGGACTTATTTAGACAATGGTCCATATCAAAACGGATCGCCCTAATTCTAAACGACATCTTCGCCACGAATCAATTGAGCTCCATTTCAGACGACTTTGCACTATTCATTCGACCGCAAGTACAGATTTTCTAGCACGCATTTGCAATTCTCAATATCGTGTTGTCGACATTAAAGTTCCCAGAAGTTCTCCTGCATGAGTTGGGCACTAAGCGCATGTCTAACTTTTTCTGAACAGTATTCCATTTCTAATAACAGCTCTAGTGTGCCACTGTTGTCTGTGTCAATATCGAGCTGCATATGTCGGGTCATTGTTGAATCGAGTGTAGACTCAATGGACCGTAATCGGTTCACCTTCAGATAGTGTTCACTGCTGGGCAAGGCTCGGTCTAGATTTCGAATCAGAGTCTGAGTATTTGACGAAACAAGGCCGTTGATACGATTAAAACCATCAGAATACCATATTTAAATCCAGGGCTCAAGGGACGTGAATAAAGGTCTCACATCTTGTAAATTCTGAGACAGCTTTGTTATTTTAGCGCGGCATGGTGTTCGATATGGAAGAGAGCGAATTCAAGTTCAAGCTGAAATTCAGTTAAGAAATTCTACTTGATAAGTGTGAAGAGGTACTTGCTTATGCCAGCCCTTTATAAGGGGCAGAATGCATCGGACAACAGATTGAGGCGATATAATTTGCCCACACTAACGCTTTCAACTACCAAAGAAGATATACCTCCGACGTGTTAGTCGGTGCGCACTCGCTCTCGCATAGTACGACAGGGAGTCAATCACTAGCAGTAGGATTATGTACATCAGCTTCTTATAAGGCGTGAAAGTGGCATGTAGCGGATCTGACATTCATTCGCTGTACACGAGATTCGGACATACATACACATTGGTAAAGAATGCCGTCTGATATATCATATGAGAAACAGGTAAAATTACAATCTTGGAGCAGACAGGGAGAATCAAAGCTCGTACCTTCATGGTTGCAACCATCTCTTCCACATTATCATTAGGCCCAACGGTGTCTAGCATACCGCAAAACCTAGCTATAATCAAATCAGCCTCATCCTATACGTTAAATTTAGCAGTGAACGCAAGGGTCAGGGCATTGCCGGTGACTGAATTGTAAATAAAATGAGCTCTCTCATCACTCTCAAGACTATTTACCGGTAAATGATAAATAAATAAAAACCAAATTTCCATTACAGACGCAGCTCTCCATCATATATACACCAGATCGGATTGGAATGCAGGGGGGGGGGGGGGGGGGAGGGGCGGTTTGGGTGTATAACGTACAGATGAAAGGTAATAGCACACGCATATAAATAAGTATTGCAATCCCGGCGCGAATATATACTAAATAGACAGATTTTGGTGTCTTGGCACCACAGAGGACACCTAAGTACAACGCTTCAGACTTGTATAAGAACATAAGTAGATAGGATTTGGTCCCGTTTCATGATATTAGACACATACCCGCAGAAACAGCTCCAGAGAACCAGGCGACGCGAGTGTCATGAGATTCGCACAGTGATGCAGCGCCGCTCGCGCAAAGTACTTGTCATTTCCCTGCTTCGTGTAGAGGCCATTGGAATTGGGTGATAACATGGTTGCGAGCTTTAGAAATATTCAAACACAACACTCCTTATAATGTCATAAGCTTTGACCCAACGAGTTACAAATATTTAGCTTCATATACTGTAATGCTGCGCTCTACACTACCCTGGATGTTATGCGTGCCCCAAGTTCCAAGACTGGAGCCCTATTCAGCAACAATACTCAGGCAGACCGCCGTGACTAGCATATACTAGAGACAGGTCACCGTACGAGCACACTGCCCTGATCTAAACGCCTGCCCAGAAACCGGGCCGACTACAATTCTGCCAGCTACAAGGCCACCTATGATGTGTACCACTGGTATGTGGCAGATACACCCGGTGCAAGTAAGATTGTGAGCCACAAAAACCAATTGCACAGAAACCATCTCACGCCTAGTGAATCGATATTATAATATCGCGACCTCAGACAATTAGCGCTTCTACGCAAGGGGGACCACAGCGGGATTACAAACTCACTGAACCATGAAAGATGCCCTGTCACCCGAGACATTCTCGTAAGGTAGGTATATTGAAAGTACCCTCGTATCGGGCATACACACAGCTAAATATACAGATGATAATATTAACATTCGAAATAAATTTGCAATGGGCTATCAAAATGTTAATCCCGACATCTGTCAAAGAATTAGCCATCTCTGTGGACACCCTTGCATAGCCATTGTACCTTCACCATCAATCAATCACGACACTACCAGCTGACACACTAGATCACTCCCCTCAGAAGACACACACACACATCATCGACACATACCCGCTCGGTCTCTCCTACATATTACGTACTATGTATGTGCGGGTACAACGGACGCGACAGCGTAATCGATGCAATATATACACGCCAGACAACACGTGAAGTCAGGGGTGGTTCGACAAACCCTAAACCTTAAAAACCCAAAACCTAAGACACACCTGGTAGAACGGCAAGCTCTCTAATACATGCGACACACTGTGCAACGCATCCAGGACCTCCCACTCATCGCTGGGTGTAGGTTCGCTTGTCTCCAGTCTGTCAATTAGACCCACGAGACTCTCATGCACGGCCCACGTTAGCGCCTGCCGCGTGCGCAGCAGGTTTGTCGGTTGCACATAGTCGTAGTCATAGTCGTAGCCACACTCACACGAGCCCGTCCGTCTCGCCAGCCTATCTCTGCGCATGGCGCTGCTTGTGCCTTGGCTTATACGCGTGTGCGTGTCATCGCGGGCCAGACCAGTCCCCTCCGACGGGCTATCCCCGTTCTCGTGCTGCAAGTGCGTGTCTATACCACCCACTGCCCCTACCTCTGCACCCGGTGCACCGTGCACTGGGCCGTACCTGTCCCGTTTGGGACACCGGTGCCTGGGCTTGCTATGGGTGATGGGCAGTCGCCTGACCCTTCCGCAATTCTCGTATCTGTCGGGATCGTACATCTTCAATGGATGCTTCACTGGCTTCACGCGACTACTTCGAGTCTTTTCGTTCTCCGCCGCTTCCATGTACAGCGCCCAATCACTCACACGTTGCGGTTCGTTCGCAGTATCCCCGTGCGCTGAACTGTCCGAAAGTACCACCCTGTCCCCTCCCACCTGGTCCTTTCCTGCCGCTTCCTGGGACCGTTTCCTCCTGCCCCTCTGGCCCTTGGTATCCGTATACTCCTCCCACTCCACATCTGCATGTGGCAGCTCACTGATCTGTCCCTGGTTCTGTTCATCCCAATTGCCTACACTCTCCGCCCAGTCCCCCTCTGCTTGCTCGCGCCTCCGCCTGAGCCGCCGCCTGGCTATGAGCCGCATAGGAGATGCGTTTACTGTGCGCTTGGTCGGATGGCTGGTGAACTCAGGACCCCCGTAAACATTCACTAGTCGAGTCAGGGTTGACAGGTTCTGGTCAAACAAAGCAGAGGGGCTGTCGAGATCGTATTGGTGGTGTGCTATGGCGCGAAGGGGTGCGCAGTGGGCACGGCCAAAGATGTAGTGCGACGCGTGAATGATCTGCGCAAGAGAAGGTAGTTAAGGGTGTGTGTGTACTTGAGGGGGTGTGTGTACTTGAGGGTGTGTGTCCCTGCACACATCACATGCACGCGTGAGACGGCCAGAAACGGCGGATCGAAAATTCAACAGATACGCTCGTGATTTTCTATGTGGATATGTGAAACAGGCAATATAGTGCCGAACTTCTATTTTTATGTACAGGAACGGATCGTGCTTTTAAATGGACCTGTCCAAAAGCACAAGCTCTGGCCCTTTTTGCGAGCGGACAATCTCCATTCCGAAGGACTGGACTGTATTTAATACAGGGCACCGGTACTATTGCCAGCGGCGATGCATACATTATGTACGGCCGTGGAGAAACAGATGGGACTATAGTCAAACTTGCAAACACGCAGCAGACACAATGATATTCCAGCTCTCTGATACTGGCTGTGTGACGCACGCTCTCGCACTCTCTCCAGTAGCTAGTTACACACACACTGGAAGGACCAGAGAGCACTTGGAGTTCACGGAAAGAATTGAAGCACATCTAACACCCCTTCCCGAGACTAGAGAAGATTCTCATAGGGCAAATGCGTCTTTGTTTGGATGAGTCATAGTGCACCCTAATAACTAACTATCTTCCTGAGAAATGTAGACTCGTACGCCATTTTGGGACAACCCTCGAATGTAAATCCTCCCCAGAGCGTAGTGTGGAGCTCAAAGCATTGGATATACCACTGTTGACAGGACAATAACGATTCTCCCTCGAGCGTAGTACATTGCTCAACAATACACACGGAACTATATTTATGCTCACCTTCTATTGCAATAAAATAAATATTCACACAACACACACACACACACACACACATA